GGATGTATTTCTCAGATTAGAAACAGGACTCCAAGGGAGGGTCCAGAAAGGTGCAGTGCTTAGGAAGATTACATTTTTGGATTAGTCAAAGAGGGACGTGGAGCACAAGACAGGATGGTGCGCCTACTGTGTGCACATGGCTGATGTTGAGATTCTGAATTCGGGCCAGACCTTGGAAGAGCAGTCAAGGTGGTAGAGCTTCCCGGGGGAGTTTATGGGCTTGAGTCAACTGGGGCCAGATGCAATGGGCTCTGGGGACAGGCCCCTGGTCAGAAGAAGCGACAGGGTGTGCAGGATGACCTGCTGCCCAGAAAAAGCTTCTTGGAGTAGGTCTGGGGAAAAGGGGTCAAAGGCTGAGTAGTATGGGTGTTGTAATTAACTATTTCGCTACAGTCACATTCCTAGTATGCTTGTGAACAACTAGAAAGCAGGCTTACAGCTTCTCTTCTTTCCTCAGAGTACATCAGAGATGGACAAAGGGCCATACCAAAATAATTAATCTGACAAACTTCACTAAGCATCTACTTCGAGCAGAGCGCTGTGCCAGGACATGGGAAAACAAAAATGATTCAGTCATGGTCTCTGCCCTCAGGAGTCTACAGTCTATTGCTCCTGAACTGAGTTAGGCTAAGTAAAAACCAGCCCAAGTGTGGGAGGTGGGCAGGGCTGGGGTGGGGAAGGGGCCAGAAGAAAGGGAATTACAAGCAGAGGGGGCAGCATCAACAAATGCAGGCAGGAGATCAACACAGCACATGCGGGGCAGCAGAAGCAGCCGTTTTGTGCAGTGCCAGGTGGGGACGGGTGGGGGCAACCGAGGAGGGGGAGCAGCAGGGGTGGGCCCTGTGTGCCAGGCTAGGGCAGCCACTCAAAGATTTTAAACAGGTTTTTTTTTTTCTTTCCCCCTACACTTTACAAAGCTCACTCTAGCTGGGGAGAAGTGATTACAGGGAAAGAAAAGGAGGCAGAGACACCAGTGAGGAGGCCACTGCTTGGTTCACATGGGAGATACTGAGGTCCTGAGCTGGGGCAGCGGTATTAGGAACAGAGGGGAGAAGAACAGAGAGTTACAATGATAGAACTTGATGGGCTGTGAGGGGTGAGGGGGAGGGAAGGACCAAGGAAACACCTAAGTTTCTATTTAGGAGACCAGGGAACGGTAGTGCCTTTACTGAGACAGGAACATGGGAGGAGGGTGGGTTGGAGGAGGGGGGCGGAGTGTAGCTCTGAATGGGCTGAATAGACAACTGCTTGCGTTTCTGAGGATGGTGGGGCACAGAGGCTCTGAGCTCCCAGGAGGTCTGCCCAGTAGAACAGGCATCCTCCCCTTCCCCATGTTCAAGAACGGCTCTGCATTCTGGATGGAGAGCCTCCCTTTCAATGTCAGTGCTCTGGCTTGTGGTCTGTAGGTTGGTCCTGCTTTGGCTCCAGTGACCCCAGAAGACCAGAGAGGCCATGGGGGCCTGGGTTGTGGGGCTGGTGCTTTATCTCCTCCATTTGTAAGGCGGTAACTGTGCGCCAGCCTTGCTAGAAGCCCTGCAGCTGGGGATCACACTGATAAATTCACTGTATTACTTTGCACAAATCAATATCCCAGCACTTACCAGGGGTTGATGTGACCGAAATTGGTTTCAGTCAATTCGTGAGGGTAATAAATGGCCATTTATCAAATCAATTCATTCTGCGGCACTTCTCTGCCTGCCCATCCTCGTGGTACCCCTGGGGTGCCAGGCTCCACCCAGCCAGCCCCCAGCACATATCTGACACTAGCCTAGAGGACTCAGGGAGGTCTGGCCTACCCTCTAGATCCGCCTCCCTCTCCTGCACCTACTTCAGTCTTGAGGTCCTGAGGCACTGGCTGCTGCTTACCTGCCACAAATTCCAACCCAAAGAGTGCCTCATGCTTCACCTGAGTTGGCAGCCGAACACAATCTATTATCAGTGTGATCCCTGGCTGCAGGGCCTCTAGCAAGGTGGGTGCACAGTTACTGCCTTACAAATGGAAGAGAACATACCAACCCCTCAGCCCAGGCCATCCATGGCCTCTGTATCTTTTCCAGCATCACTGGAGCCATAGCAGGGTCAACCTACATACCACAGGACAAAGATCTGCCTCCAGATCTGAGGCAGTTCAGGTGACAGAACAGAGCTTTGGGTAGAAGGAAGCACTCGGGGCAGACATTCTGACAGCTCCTAGGAGGTGGGGAGTGGAATCATCTACTCCTGCTCTGGGCCAAGGGCAGGGACAGACAAGGTGATGTAGGACCAGGGGAAGAGGCCAGTCTGGGGCTAGGACTAGGGATAAGTCCCGGGTTGAAGGAAATAACTGTGGGCCTGACCTATAGAGCACAGTACCCAACCCTAGGTGGTAAACATCTTGAGGAAGGGGACTAGATTTTGTTGAGTGCTATCTGGTACACGCTGGAAGGAGCACGTGCTTTACAGTCCGACAGTCCTGGATTTGGCTCCCCGGTACAGAGATGAGGAAACTGATGCTCAAAGAAGCTGAATGACCAGCCTAAGCTGCACAGCTGGTAAGTGGCCCACCTACGATTTGAGCCCTGGTTGATCCTCCCTCTCCCCCCAGCTACTTCCGGGAGCTTCATAGCTTATGGGCTTGAGAAGCTGGTGAGTAGCAGGAGGTAAGAGGAGCAGGCAACCTGCTGGGAAAGGGCTGTGTAAGAAGTGGGGGGAAAATATCATGATGGCAGCTGCAGTTCTGGCCCAAGTGGACATGGGACTCCAGCAGGATATGCTTTCTCAGATCTCTGCTAGGTCACCTGTCTCTCCCATGGGCTCCTCCTCCTCTCTTCTCCAAGAGTTCTCAGGTCTCCTTTCCCTCTACCTCAGACACAGAGTGGGGTGTTGCCACCTCCAAGGTGGTGGCTGAGGGTGGCTGTCTGTATCCAGACCCAAAAGGGCAGCCTGGTGTGGTCTGGGCCTGAGTAGCAGGAACTTGTGTATTCATAAAAGCTTTCCCTGGCTCCTGTGTGTGCCTGCAGGCAGCCTTCTGACCTCTAGCTGGTGAGGCAGCTCTGGTCTATGGGCTGTTTTTTTTTTTTTTAATTAATTAATTAATTTTGGTTGTACTGGGTCTTCTTAGTTGTGGCAGGTGGGCTCCTTAGTTGCAGCTCGCCAGCTCCTTAGTTGCAGCTTGCTGGCTCCTTAGTTGTGGCAAGTGTGCTCCTTAGTTGTGACATGTGAATTCTTAGTTGCGGCATGCATGTGGGCTCTAGTTCCCTGACCAGGGATTGAACCCAGACCCCCTGCATTGGGAGCACGGAGTCTTACCCACTGTGCCACCAGGGAAGTCCCTATGGGCTCCTCTTATTCACTGATGGTCAGGCCCCTGATGAGGGGCTCACGATCCTACTGGTGTGTGAGGCATCTGGTGAATACTTGCAAAAACGAAGTTGATGACAGATATAATGAGAAATCAACAGTCCCACTGGTGTGTGAGGATGATGGAGATTGGGCTGGGCTTGGTGTGTCACAGGGGTGACTGCCTTCATTGTTCAATGACTCCTCTAATAGGTTTCCTAGGGCTGACAAGGCCACTCCAGAATGTTCCAGAGGGGCACCACAATTTCAGACTCATATCTCCTTTTACTGGCGAGAACTGGTGCTGGCCTTGGCAGTCGCTGGGCTGCATCTGGTGGGACTAGATGCAGCACCAGATGCAACATGTGAGTGGGACTGACCACGACATCACAGGGAAGAGGTTTTTAATTTTCTTTTTTTTTTTTTTGGCCAAGCCACGTGGCACGCGGGATCCCAGTCCCTGACCAGGGATTGAACCTGCACCCTCTGCAGTGGAAGCGCAGAGTCCTAACCACTGGACCTCCAGGGAAGTACCGGAAAGAAGTTTTTAAACTTGAGCTGAGCATCAGATTGCCTGCAGGGCCTGTTAAAACACAGATTTCTGGGGAATTCCCTGGGGGCCCAGTGGTTAGGACTCTGCTTTCACTGCCGAGGGCCTGGGTTCAATCCTTGGTCGGAGAACTAAGATCCCATAAGCTGCATGGCATGGCCAAAAAAATAAATTAAAAAATAACCCCCAAAAACAAAACCCACAGATTTCTGGGGCCCCCTGCGAGAACTTCTTATTCCATAGGTCTGGGCTGAGGCCTCAGATCTACATTTCCAACAAGTTCCCAGAGGATGCTGGTGCTGCTGGTCCAGAGACCACTTTGAGAACCACTGCCCTGGGGGATACCCCTTGTCTAGGCCAGGCATAGGGTTCCACTGACCTTACCTCACCTGTCTGAGGTCACCCTCAGGGAGTCATGTACCTGAGTAGAGGAACAATAGTGAGGCCACCATCCTAAGCAGAATCTCAGTTTGATATATCTCTCTAGTGGGATCTGCATGGGGAGGAGGGCCATTAGATTAGGAGTTACACCAGCAGGCAGTCTAGCTCCCGGGGGTCAAAGTATCGGACATAAAGAACTTCTGAGGTGGAGAAGAAGGCACTCAAGACTTGTTCAGAATATTTTCCCCAAAATTGAACCAGCTGCTGACAAATTATACTGAAGTGTGGCAGAGTCCTGTGCTGGGAGACAGAAGATAAAAGTTCTAGTTCTGGCTCAACTGCTACATTACTAGTGATGGACAAACTCTTGTTCCTCTCTGGGTCTCAGTTTCCCTACCTGAAAAATGGGGGTGGGGTGGGGGCAGTAGACCAGATGAAGGTCAGAGTTAAATCCAAAGCATACGAAAGCAGCCTTGAGCAAATTATTGAAGTGCTCTGTCTCAGCTTCCTCATCTGTAAAAGAGGAATTTAATAGCACCAACCTCATAGGGTTGCTGTAAAGATTAAATAACACAACATATGCAAAGAGCTTAGAACACTGCCTGGAACATAGGAAGTACTCAACAAATGTTATGTTGTAATATTATTAGCCACTTCTCCCCAGCATGGAGACAGCAGGGGTACAGCTCACTGGGGCAGACCGTGAGCTTCCTTGCCCTTTTTGGTGCAGGCCAGCATCTCGCATACTCACCAGCACCTACTGTGGCGATGGCACTCTCCTGGCCAATGATGTGCTCCTTCAGCCGCTGCTCCAGGGGAAAGCGGCGCCGTTCCTCGGCCTCACGTTTCTGCTGCTTCTCTCGGTACTGTGGGGAGAGAGGGAAGGTGGCTCAGGAGTGCTGGGCCCAGGAGGGTCCTAGTTTCATTCTATCCCCCAACCCAGGGGGGAAAAACACAGGTTTTTTCTCTGAGGGTCCTGATGCACAGCTCTGGCTCATGACCACTGGAGGCTGGCCCAGTCCTCCCCCTGCCCCTCAACCTAGGCCTCACCTCATCTCCCTACCTCGGGTGGCCATTGCTCAGGGGTCCTGCCTCACCCTGCTAGTAAGTACTGCTAGTAAATTAACCCTTGACTCTGGCGTCTGACAGAAGATTTGGTTCGAATCTCAGCTCTATCACTTACAAGATGTGCTCATTACCTGGAGCAAGTTACTTTGCCCCAGTTTTCTCCTCTGTAAATTGGGGGTTAAATATGATAATGTATATAGAATGTGCCTAGCATCATGGCTGATGTGCACTGAGTGCTTACAAATATAGGTTCCTTTCCTTTTCCACTTATCCTCTTTTTCTATAAATTTATTTATTTATTTTATTTTTGGCTGTGTTGGGTCCTTGTTGGTGCATGCGGGCTTTCTTTTAGTTGTGGTGAGTGAGGGCTACTCTTTGTTGCGGTGTGTGGGCTTCTCATTGCGGTGGCTTCTCTTGTTGCAGAGCACGGGCTCTAGGCGTGCAGGCTTCAGTAGTTGTGGTCCACGGGCTCTAGAGTGCAGGCTCAGTAGTGGTGGCACACGGGCTTAGTTGTTCCACGACATGTGGGATCTTCCCAGACCAGGGATCGACCCGTGTCCGCTGCATTGGCAGGCGGATTCTTAACCACTGCACCACCAGGGAAGTCCTCCACTTAACCTCTTGAAAACCATTTTGGTTTTTAAACCAGAGCTATGAACACCCTCTACTTCAATGATACTGCATTTCAATTAAACACAACTATTCAGCAATTGCTGTGTGCCTGGCCCTGTGCATGCAATGATGGAAAGGTGGGGCAGGGGGAAGGAGGAGGATTATACCCTGCCCCCTGGGAGGTTTAGATGATGCTGAGTGCCTGGCATGTGTCTGGCCTCCGGCTTGGTCCATTTCAGAAAAGGCAGACGGAGGAGGCCCGAGCTTGGTCCTGCTGTGAGGGAGAAGAGAAGAGCCAGGCCTTGCTCTCAGGAAGCTCAAAGTTGTGCACGGGAGGTGAGGCAGGGTCTGTACACAAATACTACTCAGGCAGAATTAGCCATTTCCCTCATGGTTCCAAAGCATGTGTGCCTATTTCTAGCCTTGTACCTATCACTAAAAAAAAAAATTACTTGAAAACCAGTTTGTTGCATGTGTGTGATTCTGTCTTCCAAATCAATTATGAGCCCCCTGAGGGTAGGCACTGCCTTTTACTCACTGCTATTCCTGGCACGGGTCCTGGCACAGTGGAGACATCTGGTGAATATTTGCAAAAATGAAGTTGATGACAGATATAAAGAGAAATTAACAGCTAGACTGGGTGGTGTAGGAGTACAGAGAAGGGAAGGATACATAAAGCACGGAACAATTCTGGGAGACAGGAGGCTTGAAGGAGCTGGAATACTGGGCTAGGTGGGAGCTGTGGGACTATCTGGAGACTGGGCAAAGAGGGGTGAGTGTGTGGGTCTGATGATAAAGCATTTATGGAGGCCAGGGGATGGAGGGTGGGGGAAGGAAACAGGTCTTGAAGTGGGATGGAAAGACCTGGGTCTTCAGGAGGCTTCTTTCCCCTAGGGCCCCTGTAATACTGACAGCTTTCTAGAAAGCGAGCTGCCAAGGTATGGCCCTGTCACAAAAGTTGTGGCTGCAGATTGCTCTTGCAGGGAGAGTGGATGAAAAATACCTGCTGCTTGGGCAGTGTTTTCCTGTTAAGGTAGTGACCTTGACAGAAGTTAAAAAAAATAAATAGCGAACAATCCAATTTCGGCTGTTGCTATCAGTCTGTAACTGAAAGCTCCCATCAGTTCCGGGGTTTCATACGAGCAATAATTCGGCGCTGATCCCAGTGGAGCAACACTTGCTGGTTGGAATCCAGCGCGTCATCGTGCAGCTCCCTCAGGCGCCACATACATCACCTGGCTCTGCCAACTCCAGCCATATATCTGCCTCCTCCTCCCTGTCCACCCAGCCCCTCTCAGCACTCGAGTCCACTGGGGTGGAAGGCTCTGATGGTGAGATGCACACATACCTGCTGGTACAGCAGTGGCCAGCGGCCTGGCCAGCTCACAGTCAGTCTGGCTGCAGAAGGAAGCTGGCCTCGGAGGGTTTGCTAGGTCTGTTTCGTCACTTCCCCTCAGGGATGGATATTCCTGCCTCTGGGCCTTTTGCTCACATTGCTCCCTCAGCACAAAAGTCTTCTCTATTCCCACCTACCTCTAAGTGATCTCAGTTTAAATACCAAATTGCCTAAGGAGCCTGTTGCCCTGGCCCTGGGACCTCCAGAGCACTTATTTAACTGACTGTTTATATCTCCTTACTCCACACATGAGGTCCGTAGTGACAAAGCCCATGTTTTATTCATTGCTATAGCTCTAGCACCTAGCATAGGGCCCTACTCACAGAAGAAGTCAATACATGTTGCCAACCTAATGAGGTAACTACCGTTTGTGGAACAGCTGCTGTGTGAAAGGCACGGTACTCAGCACTTTATGTGTAGTGTCTCACTGAATTCTTATAGTAGTCCCCATCTGGAGTTTGACTCCTCTTCTGGCTCACAGTGGGGCACACAGTGTGGCAGAAAGAAGCAGCTTTGCTCCACAAAGATGTGAATTTAGACCTCGCCTAATCCAGTTACTAGTTAGCTGACCTTGGGGAAGTTAATTCACCTCCCTGAATTTCAGTTTCCGCATCTCTAACACGATGATGGTACTCACACCTACCTTGCAGGATCCTTGTGAGGATTAAGTGAGGTGATGTATACAAAACAATTGGCAGGTCTCTGGCATACAACAAATGTGTATGTAGAAGTCGCTATGTGAAAGACTCAAGTGGCCAGCATAGTACCTGGCCCGTGGCAGGCCTCTGATAAATGTAACTTCTCCTTTGCTGCATTTTGATAACTGATTATCTAACCCAGTGCCTTTTTTGTTTGTTTATTTTTGTTTTGGTGCTGGAACCCTTTTAACTAATTTAATCTGCACGGAGCCCACAGATAAGGGGAACAGTTGCTCCGGCTTAAGCAGAAGCCAGAGGCCAAGTCCACGTGGATGCCCCCACTTGCCCCAGTGTGGCTCCTGAGGCTTCTCCCCCTAGGAACCCTGGGTCTGCAGGGTACAGTCTCAACACCAACTGAGTTCTCAGGACGCCTCTACTGTCTGGGGTGGCTCAGCTCTGCCTGTCAATTTTCCTTACATGGTAGAGAACTCCACATCTAGGTACTTTCTTTGTGGGGCCTCACAAAACATATCTTCTTTCCTTTGCTACAGGCAAAGCCTAACATGACATTTCCCGCCACTTTGTTGGTTTGGGTACGGCCACCATGGCCTCCTTAAGTCTTTTTCAGGGAAATATTTCTACCTCCTATAACTCGACTTCACTGTCATGATTTTAGGTTATCTTAGTATTCCTATTATTTTCTTGGGCAGTGGGAAAGGGTTCTTGACTTTTATGGGGGTGAGCATGGGGGAAAGGTTGCACTGTGATCTGGCTGGTTTCTCAGGAGCTTTCTAGATGGCACTGGGAAAGATTCAACCTATGGCTTAAATCTGAGCACATCCTGATTCTAGCATACTCCCTCCCAGCCTGAAGCCCTATGTACATCTCCTCAGAGAAACTTCTGAAACTGGATCAGACTTTTTGATAAAAATGTACAGGACAATGGGATTAAACCAGGTAGAAGGTTACTGCTTCATGCTCTTTTCCTAATGCTTATTAGCACAGAGTTTATATTAAAAAATATGCTGAATGAATGAATGTCTTTTTAAGGCATGAGCTATGAGTTCAGGCTTGTGGAAAACTAACCAATGGAAGAACCTAGGAAAGGAAAACACTTGGTCTGTATATATTCTATTTGGGGGAGAGGAGAGAGAAGGATGGGAGAAGGCACTTGGTAAGGGTCTATGAATGTGGGCTACTGCTGTTCCCGGCTTTCTGAGGAAATGGGGAGGAAGGCTACAGGGACTGAGGTCAAGGCCCTGCTTTGACAGGATTCCACTGGAGGAGAAGACAGCTTAGATGACCCAGCCTGCAAAAGTAGGGGGCACTGGGCTGAGAGGCCCAAGAAGCTACCCAGGAGAGCAAGAGCGGGGGAGTGATCATCTTCTTAATAAAAGCCACATGCAATTAGCTTCAGAAGCCCTCACCTGGAGCTAGCAGCAACCAGCTCCCAATGCTTCATCTCGGCTGGATAATCATGGCCACTGGTTTCCATCATTCTTGATTTAATATGGCACCCCTCCTGGCTCTGAGTGCATTTACAGGAAAGGCCTGGGAGGCCGAGGCGAAGCCTAGCTGGGCTCTCGCTAGGAAGTGGGTGGCTGGGCAGAGAGGCTCTGCAGAGGAGGGTTACAGGGAGAAGGGGTATGGCAGCACACCTACTGTTGGGCATTCCTCAGGAACAGGTCTGATAATAAACCTGGTAGTACATTCACTGAGAGAGGAGCTAGGGTAGGGGTGGTAGGCAGAATGAGACCCTGGACAAGAACAGGATAAGCATGGAGGAGGGGAGAGAAGAGAGGCCAAGTTGCAGTTTGTCTCTTGTGGGAGGTCAGGGCAGAGCCCACTGGCTGCTCACACACTCAGATATGCCCCATCCTCCTGACTCCCTGATCCAACCCCAACTTACATCACAGTCAGGGCTTCTACCATGCCCTGAAGCTGTGGGGGACAGAGAGGACTGGGTACAGAGGCCAACAAAGGGGACCATGGGGCAACAGATGAGACTGGAGGGGTGTGGGATGATGGAAAGAGTTCTGAGAAGGGGGGTGATGACAAGAGGAGCCCAGGGGTCCAACAAAGGAGCCTGGGAAATACAGAGCAGACAGGAGAGGAGACTGGGGGACAAGAGGGGCACCTAAGGGAACTCAAA